TAATGGTGGCTAGATCTAATGGTGGTTAGATCTAATGGTGGCTAGATCTAATGGTGGTTAGGAAAATCAATCATTGATTTCGCAACCTCACAATGGCATTTATTGAAGAATTCCCGGAAATAATGATATTAATTGGAGAAGATTATCCGTTTTAGGGACTTCAGAAGATCCAAAGGTATTGGCGAGAATACTTCGATGAGTCCTTGCCGAGCCGCTGAACATAGAATGAAACGACATTATTGTTTACAAGAGAAATGCACCACTTGGTTTGAGTATAAGTTGAACGTGCTTAGTGATGGAGAGGCTCATTCCAAAACAGAACCAGGCCGTCGGTCTGGTCTGTATCCAATGTAGGATAAGGCCATATATGGCTAACTGGAATATAAAAACATACTGGTAATGAAAACATAAGTAAGCAGAAAGTCAATTGTCAGATATGTTCAATATTATGACACTTATGGGAAATATTTGACTGATAACATGTTTTTATTCCCGAAATTTGGAAATATCAAATAAGGTTAAGTGATCAAATTTTTCAACTTCCATCTAACCATGAGCATTTCAGTCCACAACACAAATTATATGATTTACCATATCTTCCTAAAGTCATAGTCCTTGTTGCCAAATACCGCGGCTATAAACAACGCTCAGTCACTGACACTGTCCTTATCAAATCCTATCGCGAGACTCGGAACTGTGAGCATGTTCCCAATAAAGGATGTCACGGCTGAATACAAAACAACGCTGCGTGTACTAGGTCAGGCCAAGTTTGTTAGACTCCCCACATCTGTTATTGTACAACGCAAATTCGATTTGTACAACACAATCGTTAAGAATATCCATGCTTACTGTAAATCTGACCAACCTCCGTGAAATATATCCTGTTCATATCTTATCATTGTATGGCCCTTTGAAATGTTGCTTGGACTGGGAGGGAAAAAATTCACAATGTCCCCTTTACCCTCCCCGAAAGTTGTCGAGCTTCACACAAAAGTGGGACACGAGAGACTCACTACGTTGTGGTCCTTTTAAAGCAACGTCCGGTCTATTCATGTCATATGACAAAGGGCACAGCTCAGCGTGTCGCACAGAAACTGGAACAACTTTCGGTCGTTTTGCTTTTTCGCACGAAATCCACGAAACATCTAAATTACATAGACTGATCAATCCTTTAAACCCGGGATATCGGCAATACATACCCTTATCAGTCTTTCAATCCACGAAGCATCGACAATACATTGACTAATCAACCTTTTATACCATCAAGCATCTGAAACACACAGACCCGTCAATCCTTTAATTAATGGAGAACAAACAAAATTATAGACCAGTCAATCTTTCATCCCAGGGACACTCAGCTTCCACACAGTCGTTGAAAGCTAGGAGCGTCTGTCGATTTCAATAATTTCATAATTTGCTTAAATATGGCTGAAAGACCATGGTCTACGCGACGGCTGTAATGTGTCCTTAGGATCACGGTTCTTGGACATCCTCTGGACGTTTTGGTGATGATGATGATGATGATGATGATGATGATGATGATGATGATCATAGTACTGATACCGATTTATGTAAGCGACAGTTTGAAAAACATGTTTACATGTCGAAATAATGCAGAACGATAATAGAAGCCTGTGTATGCTGCGGTAATATAACACTATATAAAGCTAGATAATTACGATACATGTGTATAACACGATCGGTGACAATAACAAAGCTTATTTACAAAATGTACAATTATATGTCAATGATATGCTAACAATGATAATCGGGTCAGTTCAGTATTTATAAAAAATAGTGTTCTCCGATTCTTATGAATGAGTGAGTTTAGTTTTACGCCGCACTCCGGCGGCCGATTCTTATGACGGAAGAAGATCAGAAGTAATCAAATTCATTTAGTATTTCAACAATCACAGGTGACGTTTGGACTTAATAAGGTAGTCCAAAGGCTAGGGCTGAATGGCTGAATAGACCCATGATTGCTTAATCACAGCACGTAATGTTTTCGTCTCCTATTCAGAAGTAACTTGAACACACGATTAACTTCTTAAAGATCAATATCTTATTTGACATTCAGTATGACAACATTACACGCTTGATCGGTCCACCACGTCCCTTCGCTAAGGTGTTTTTTCGACCTTGGCTCAGAATCGTACGCAGACAAGGACTGACTGACTGACTGAGTTTGGTTTTACGCCGCTTTTAGTAATATTCCAGCAACATCACGGCGGGGGACACCAGAAATGGGCTTCACACATTGTACCAATGTGGGGATTCGAACCCGGGTCTTCGGCGTGACGAGCCAACGCTTTAACCATTAGGCTACTCCACCGCCCCCCGCAGACAAGGAAACAAATACTAGTGTGCTGACTAAGATCCATTTGTGTCAGGTAATGAATAATAATAATAATGGCCTTTTATAATGCGCCCATTTCCACACACTTGTGCATGCTCCAGACGTTAATGCTGCTACAAGGCTGTAGTGTACTATAAGTCCAAGGATGTATAGTGATTCTATTTCTAAAATAGCAAGTCAAGATTGGCCGACAGTGTGTGTGCGTGACTGCATACCATAGCAATTTCGCAGTTCCACTGTTTTCTCTTTGACTATGTTTCCCAGGATTCTATTTTTGTACATTCCCAGGAACCATATATACTAGTGTACTTGCTGAACCAACGCTGCCACGTGTGCTGTAGCGAATAAATGGGAGACTAGCTGGCCAAGGATCTATACTTCTCTTGACCGTTGGTCAGCTACTGCGTAGTTAGGTAGATTACATCCTTCAGCGTGGTGGAAACACTATCTGCAGTGTGTGGCATGGAGTATGTTAGCTGTGGTTAGCTCGACGTGAAGCAGGGTGGTTTTGTTCTGAGATGAGGAGAGACATTTTGTCTGCTTTGGTAGAATGATCACAATTTTCCATTCGTGTCATTCCGGGACAGGCCGATGGACGAGGTAAGGCAAGAAGCAAGTGGCGATGATGATGATTATTATGATGATGATGATGATGATGATGATGATGATGATGGTGTTGAATATGAAGATGACAATGATGATGATGGATCAAAGTAATCAAACATTCTATTGGTGAGTAAGAAGAGTGAATCGATGGCCGCAAATGTCAGTGAATCCACGGTGGGACAACATACATCAAAGCAAGATGTGTGAACAAATATGACTGCAAGACATGTAGCGAGCGAGTTTAGTTTTACGCCATTTATAGCAACATTCCAGCAACATCACGGCAGGGAGCACCAGACATAGACTTCACACATTGTACCCATTGTACTCGAACCCGGACCTTCGACGTGACGAGCAAACGCTTTTACCATTAGACTACCCAATCGTCCCACTTGCATTGTAGATTCCCCAGGGATTGATACTGGAAATACCCAATGCACACTTACCCACTGACCGCGACCGTAAATACTGCAGTTGTTGGAACATATAATACGTACATAGTTATTATGATGAATGAATGTAAAAATAACCACCTAATACCGTATAATGTCATAAAGTAATCAATTGTAGCAACCTAAGTCGGCGACTTATCTGCACCTCGCCACACACCTGACTCTAATCACGGACTCTGCCAGTGTAAATATCAGAGGGTTCATTAAGCCGCCAGGCTGGCACTAGCGGTTCCTGCAACATTTATACAGATTACGTTTCTTGTTCCACTGTAATTGGGTTCTTTGAAATGGATTTATCGTAGTAAGCCACGAAGTGTCTATCACAGGCAGGTCTCTGTGGATCTAAGGGAGCTCCTCGCACCGTTATAGCAATGCTACAGCTTGTTATCCGCGTGTTCTTGTGCGATACCTACGTTTTACACACGACGCCTGCACATTCATCCGGTCATATGGCACGGCTTTAAAGTCTATTTTCTACTTCAGCTCACATGTGTTTTACCAGAGACATCGGTGTTATCTGTTGATTATGGTTAGGGGTGAATGACAGTTTGGTCTCATAGACGGTTGTGCGCAGATTTTGATAGAATAAATATAGTGAGCGTGAGTGAGTTTAGTTTTACGCCGCACTCAGCAATATTCCAGCTATATGGCGGCGGCCTGTAAATAATCGAGTCTGGACCAAACAATCCAGTGATCAATAGTATAAACATCGATCTACGCAATTGGGATACGGTGACGCGTGTCAAACAAGTCAGCGAGCCTGATCATCCGATCCCGTTATTCACCTGTTATAATAGCTCATTTCTTCATGACCTAAAGCAACCGTCAAATATTGTTTACTTATTTATTTACCAGCAGTGATGGCAGCCTGTGTTGTGTGAGTGAGAGTGGGTGGGGGTGATTGGGTGGGTGAGAGAGAGAGTGAGTGAGTGAGTGCGTGTATTGCTGGATACGTCGCTTGATGACTATCGCTTGCAGTCAGTGTGTGAATGAGTTATAACGCTCACATCCGTTTTACATCAATATCACGTTTGCTTCAATGAGTGAGTGAGGATAATGATGTCATTGAGCATGCTTACGTTAAATATTGATCATTTTCACATAAGAGTTGAGATGAAATTCTCCTCGTCTTCCGTTATCGGGTCCAGTTACAACCTGTCTACCCACGTCTTGTACTGTCATGGCACTTGACACGTTGTTGTGAAAGGCCATAATTGAAGCCATTACTGAGGAAATCGATCACGTCCAAGTAAAGTTTTAGGCCTTTGAAAGCGGATATATATTTTATTATAATGTTGGGGAAAGAGGGTTTCTATACATCAAACACGCGTAGTTAACAACTATAGAGGATGATAAGCCTGTTAAGCCTGAAAGAGCGTTGATCCAAACTATCACGGGACTGCCAATGTAAAAAGCCTGAACGACATTCATTCTGACGTCAAAGCGCCTTATATCGATGTACATTGAACGGAACAGAGATATTTTTAGACTGAGGATAGTCTGTTGGACCTGGTGTGAGTCTCATAACCCCACGACTTAACGTTATGTGGGCCATGGGTATACACGTGTGAGCACGGAAGGCTGGTAGGAAAGGCCGCACTTGTGAAAATCACAACCGTTGTATTGATCAACATTGGTCTGATTCATAACCCACAGGAAAAGCCGGGAACGGGTCTAAGAGTATGGATATCTATACATAGAACAGGAGCATTATGAAATGCTACGAAGCACGGCCTTATTGACAGAGGCTAACATACCCTTGCTTTCGCTGTGATCATGAAAATGTTGATCAGTGTGGGGACAGTACGAGGTTGTTCGCCAGGACTGACACTGTGTTCATCAACAAGCAGTCAATGGAGGAGCTAGCGCAGCTATTGATCTACGGAACACTCACCACTTTCATCTACTATAGTGTAGAACGTGAGTATCGTCTGCTTCTCTCCCTACGTCATCCCATTCCCGGAAATCGTCTGCCGACCTCTGTTTGGTATTTCCCGCCAAAAATAACTCGGCTAATAATATCGTATATAATTTGAGGGAATTACCTGAACTCACGAGAGTGTATCTGTGTACATCAACAGAATTGAGTAGAATTACAAAAACCAGTGAAACGATGCAAAATCTAACAAATACACATGCACGGGCAGAGGTATACTGTATTTCATCTTTTGAGATTTCCCGAGAGCGTGCATTTCGTTTTACGCGCTTTAACACCATTCCAGCAACATCACGGCGGGAACACCGGAAATGGTCTTCACACATTGTATCCATGAGGGGAATCGAACTCGGACAATCGGCATAATAAAGAGATCATTTTACCACCGGTTCCCCCGCCGCATCTGATATTTACTAGTGTTATTTCTGCACGTTTTCTCGCCACGTATGAATTTTGAAATGTATACTGTCAGTGTGAAACAACATCTGTTGGTGGTTTCCGACAGATTGGAAGTCCCCGTACTGAACTAGGGTAATTGGTTGGCCTGTGTTCAATTCAATGTCACCTTCAGTGTCAGCGTATGTTCACATGTGGTTTCCTCGTATCTCTGACCACTTGAAAATTTGATGCTGATGTGTGGATGTATATATTTTGACGAGTATGATATTGATGCAACACAGCTGTGACCATTGAGTATCATTCGTTTATTGACCTACCAGAGCTGACAGAAACACACACTAAGTCATCGAGGTATTGATTCACACGTCCCATTCAGCAATCTTCCTGTTCACTCACTTATCCAAACTCGGTTTATGCGGAGGAATGTGTTGTACAGAGTTGCCCCCCTTCGGTGAGCCAGGAAACTGTTACTGTGGGTCCAAACCCCACAAAACTGGAAAACGTCTGAGTACTCAATCACAGTGGGTTTCCACCTATAGTATGCTAACATGTCGTAATATAACACAGTGACCGTTTACAGCCACGTCAACACAACTGAACCCGTTCACTCACTCACTCCGAATAAAACAGAAACCATGTGACGTCATACTTTAATCATACGGCATAGTCACAATTACTTAGACACCCCATAAGCAGATTGAATTTTTCCTTCATGGGAATACAACTAAAATCACAATATTACTTTCAATACAACTGGTCATCTATCACAAAATACTCCATCCACCAAGATAAGTGTTTTTTAATATTTGAAATTGTTTTTCATTGATCGCCGTCACCAATCATAGTTGGAGAACATTTTCCTTGTCAGTCAATATATGAGGCGAGTTGATCCCGTACATCTCTTATACTGCGACATCAGTTTCCTGAAAGTGTCTTTCAGAAATGGATAGCCAGTTGAGTGAGTTTCTATAAGTACTTGTTCCCTGAAATATCAACAATATGTCCGTCGATGTGGACCCTCATGTCATTTTTACCACGGACGCCATTCGACGAAATATTTTTCAAAACACGCCTTGTGTCCAGTTGCACTGCCAAGAAAACAATACCTGATTTTTCAGTTCCAGCTATGCTATCTCACAGACCCTTAGCCACATTATTTTCCCTAATGCAAAACCCCTAAATTAAGCAAGTCTAGATTTACTTAGGTTCTGAATCGCCGAGTTCAGTTGGATTCCTTGTCAATATAAATGGAATTATTTGTTGCTGTCAACTTGTTCTCTGAGACTAGGCGTTAGTCTAGGTTCCAACAGACATCACCAGGAACGTGTACACAGATTCGGTAAACGTGACTTTATTAGAGTAGTTTCAATATAGTGAAGGCCATATCGGAATCTTGAGGCTACGGCCATCCATGAACCCGTGGCCTCCCTTCCCCTGTGTTGAGCTGGTGCTAAACATACTAATTAGTGATATATTCAGCCAGTCAGACCAAGGCGCACCCTGGCCCTCTCCCTACATAGCCGATGACCGACATACGGTGATATACTGCCGACCTTGCCACAGATTACATAGTGTAAATGTTACTGTTGTCAGTGTGAGACCAACAGGTGGCCGGGTATGAACTGGTCTGACCATTTATCTCTCGCGACAATTTAAAGGCACATATCTTTTTATGAAATATTATTTACGCCAAAGCGTTATTAAAACAACTCACACCCATAAACATAAGGAGATCAGCTGTCAATAATCTTTGGTCGTCCCCTGTATCCAAGAGTAAGTTTGGGTAAGTAACTGGTTAAAGCGTTCGCCCGTCACGGTACAGCCCGGGTTTTATTCTCCATGTGAGAATGTGTGTCCATTTCTGGTGTTCCTGGTCGTGATAATGGAGCGTAAAGTAACACAGCAAATGAAGAGTTTGATTTTACTTTTTTCTTTCTAGTCGTAAAATGTTGGAGAATTACTGATACGACGTAAAATAGTACTCACTCACTCAACCTTTTCTCGAACAGCTGGGCCCAGTTCAACAAAGCGCTCCGACTGTTGTAAGCCAGTAGACACCACGGACGTGGGAGTTACGATCACCTTAGCGGATGTTCCCCTTGTTGAACCGAGCCCTATAGTAACATTAATTACACAATGACTCGTTACAAGTGGTGACCTAAATAAGTTCAATCTACATAAGACGGGCTCACCATCCACCCACCAACCACCCGCTCCCCGTCCAAACTAATCCAGCCCTGCGTATTCCATTGACAGGCACTTCCTGTTATATATGCATGTCACTTCGTGATGCTCAAGTACGACATTGTAGTTTATTAATAGTCGGAAGTAATTAATTTTCGCAAGCATGAAACCTGAAATGTGTATGATCTCCTCTGTGAGTCGTCCTCAACGCCGTGTTCAATGTCAACACCGGCCGCTTCTCCCTAAGATAGAACTGGTGTTGGCTGAGTGTCTAGAGATCGTTCAAATCCGCCTGGAGATTTAGAAAACTGTGCGTGAGGTCTTTGAGCCGTATTGGGTTGAGCCGAGAACTGTTGACACACAAGGTCTCATTGACACAACAACGTTACAGCTACCCCTGCTTCATGATTGCGTTCATGGTCTGTCGCCTGGACGTTTGATGGCCATGGTCAAAATATTCGTGATCAGTTTCTGAATCCGTTCATCACACCTCGAGCGAAGTCGTCACTCTCTTACATTTACAGATATAGAATTGTATGGTGTATGGTGTTACAGATTGTATGGTGTTACAGATTGTATGGTGTTACACATTAATAATTAATCCAAATCATTGAGTTTTTATAATGTCTAATGCTAACGGCAGAGTTGATTGCATGGACTATATAGTGAATATGGGGTCATGAATCACTTGAGATAAATAATGATATTTTGTAACCCTGAACAAACAACTTTTGACCAAGAACCACGTCACGTTATATGAAATCTTTGAAACGAAGCATGTTCTTACAAGTTGGAAAATATCGACACAAAATGTAGGAAGTGCTCGAATATTGCTCGACCTAAAGGGAAAGTTGCCAATTGGGAAAGACAGAGACAACACCAAGTCAATAAATGTCGACACCTTTCTGTGAAACCCATGGACAAAGTGAAGCAAATAGTTTGTCATCATCAAACTATGTGATGAATATAACCTTATGTCTTATACGGTGAACCTGACAGATTTGAAAAGTTCGTTAGGGTTGCCTTTAATGCTATCGAAGGACTCCTCTATCTACAGTTGATAGTCGATAGTACATGTACATCTAGGACTGGACAGATGTATTTGTATGGTCATTGCCCAGTATCGATCCTGCATGCACTCATCAGCAGTCGGAACACGAAGCTGATTTCCCAAGAGCTCATCGTTTCATTACCGGCAGGACGTTTGAGCTGACACAGACGCGCTTTCTCTGTCTGCCTAGCTGTCTTATACACCTGGTAAGAAGGACATTTTTGCAAACATGTCAAGTTATCATATGTATTAATAATGTAGTGGTTTAGGTGTGTCAGTGCGTGTACATTTTCTTTGTGTGTGTCTATTTGAACATTCCGATGTGGCAGGTTATTTTATGTATTAGTGGTGTGCTAAGGTATTGGTAATTGGCAATTAATGATTGTCAGTAATTTGTGTTCGACCATGTGATTGTGCAGGAGTGGTCTGTGACAACATATTATTTCAGCTAATGAAAGTTTTTTTGCAAACAGATTATTCAAGCCTCAGGGTATTCACAATAATATGGATTCGTTGAAACGTACACAAACGACACGTTTGTCAGAGAAAGCCAACAGACTTAGACCGTAGAATGGAAACCCATCACGGTAGTTTCTTAAGCTGGTTACATGTTTATAAAACATGCAAAACCTTTTTTATAATCATAAACAATTCTGCTATATGCAATTTCGATCGTACGATTCCGACTATATTATGAGCATGTGGTTATGAATGACAGCCATGCAGATAGTGACAACAGGTGTTTGTGAAAAGGTCAGCGTGTCATGGGAAGAGGTCAAAGTGTTTTTACACAGTGTGTTAAATTGTGTTGAATATTGATAGTAGCTCATTAAGCATACGTGTCGATACCTCAATTACCCTCACAATAGCTTCATAGCTGAAGCGTTCACGATAAGCAAGTTATGTAGATGTAACGTAGAGGGAAGCAAACGTGGCAGGTTCGCTTTCTGAAACATCCCGACCAGAGCATGTCAAGATATCCTATAGCGCTAATTGTCGTGTATATCAGTTCCACACATCGTTCACTTGATGTCATATCTAACATAACAAACAATTAAAAAAGCGTACCGACAACATATAAACTCATATCATGAAGTCGTTAAGATTGAGAGCAAGCACTCGGATATCATATACCATTAAAATGCATGAATAATGTTAATTCCATTTCTGATTTCATCTGAGTATATTAGATACATTATTTTTGTCATCTGTTGTTATTAGTTTCTTGATTAGTTTCTTTGATTTCCTTCCTTTTTCATAAATTTTGATATCTAGTGAATCGTCTTTGCCTTATTCATATTACATTTCATTTTTCATATTTACCAGTCAATTTGAGCACTCTTTGTCATT